GAGTGGGGAGGGGGGGGGGGGGGGGGGAGTCCCAAGAGTCTGCTAAGCCGAGTGGGCACCATTATATAACGTTCGGAAACCAGTGAATTGTCTTCAGCTTCAAAATTGATATTCGTATCAAATCATCTTTCTGTTACTGTCATATAATAAAAATACATTACTTAAAAATATATTTGCCTTTTTATAAATTTTAGTTCTAATTCTGGTGTACAAGAAAGAAAAGTTTATTGTTCCGTATGGTTCAGAGCCACTGGTTTAGTGCGATTGGAATGTGGGAAGTGTGTATAATTTCTTTGCCTTATTAGTAACTTCTTGCACGCATTCCATCAATTTGAGTATGAGATATTGGGAAATGGGACTTCTACAAGCATCTGTACTCATGGTTATTAATGACAGGAATGCAGTGGCACAATCATTTGACTGATGTCTCTGTTTGCTGCTGTGACACAGGAATCTGAAACTAATTGCCAGGTAATTCAAGGTATCTCGTGGAGGGTGGTGACACCAATTCTCCTTCAGTGCCACTACCAAGAGCAGTAAAGGCAACCATGTTTATACTTAGTTTATTTAACAATGTTCTGTCAACTACATGCCTTTTACATAGCCATTGAATGTGGTGATGATTTGGGAAGCTGTGGTCTATTGTTATTGAACACCTCCACATTTATACATTGAGTAATTAAATGACACATAATGTCAGTTTGCAGTAAAGATTGTTAGAAAGAAGAATGTGGTCACATTCAGTTTCACAGCTCATGTTCATGTTGACAGAAAGTAAGTGAACTTCAGTATTTGGACTTGTAAAACATTTTAACCAATGAATTTGGTTATGGTATGATTTCTTTTTGAAGCTTATAACAATAGTTAGTGGCCGCAAGTAATTTAGGACAATTATAATGACACTATCACATTTTATGCATTTTTTCCCTCAAAGTGCATAGCAAGAATGTGTGTCCAGACCTTGGTACTCGAGAATCACTTATGAGGGTTGTGCCATTTTGCACGACCTCAAAATCGAACTTTTGCGATATCTTAGGAGCTGTGACGAGAGGAAAATGGCGCTGACATTGTTTTAATGACGGGACGAAGATCAAATAATTAGGTTAATTTTACAAATCTGAAGGTAATTTTATTGCAGTTGGCAAGATATATCACGTGTGCTGTAACTTTTCAATCGCGTCGTGATGTCAGTGGGAGATTATCTGCTTTTAGCATGGAAATGTAGTGTGAAATATCCTTTACAATTGAACGACGATTTAGGTTTAGTTCAGCTTGATAAGAAGACTACTGTGTTGGGTTGATATTGTGTTATTTACAGTGATAATACAGTTCGTTTCTAAGACTTGTGAATTGTGATACAATCGTACGCAGAATGAAACATTTCCTCACACATCGGCATCATTTTTCCGAGATTCGCCGTGTATTGAGGTTAGCCGGGATGCTGGTGAGTACGGAAATACGCAATTTTATTTTCCCTGAAGTGGGTATGTCATAAGCGTTTTAGGCAGAGAGAATGTTGAAATATGTGAGGATTACTTTTCTGCTAGAATCGGACTAGGTTAGTATTCTTTACGCAAAGTCCGTATCTTATGTAGAAAACTTGTCATACAAGATCGTTGCACTCAAAGGATGACGGATTCTAGCAAATTTTGACAGGATTGGGCAAGTTCTTGTCATTTATTCCCCAAGCAAACTCCATGACACGCGTATTAACTGAACTGACAATTTTATTTATTTAAAAAGTTCGCTGGTGTCGATTATTTAAAACGCACCTTTTCTGGGATTTCGACCCTAGAAGTCGATTGTTGCATAACATAAATTAATAACACGACGCATGCGCACACGATGTTCCGGAAAACAAAATTGGGCCATTAACATGTTAATTGCTGGGAGATCCAGGTCGTGTGCGCGTCCTCTCCGAGCAACTTGATGACTGACGTCACTTCCTGTCTGTCCTGGGATTTGGGGAATTAAGTCGTACCGCTCCTAACTATGAAGTAAACTGAGAAGATACCTCAGTCAGTGTAATAACTAGGCATCAGGGGTTTCATTACATTCAGCGGGACTTTGATTCTGATCGTCGCCCTGTTGAATCGGCACCGAGGGCACTTTCCCCGGGAGTAAAGGCTGACTTAATATTTAATATGCTCGAACGCAGAGGCTGGTCCCTTAGTTTATTTAACGACGCTGTGTCAAGAACAGAGGTTATGTACGGTTAAATGTTGCCATGAGGAGTCTGAGAAATTATCTGCGCGTACTGTGCACTTTTTCCGTGGTTCCAAATATCAGTTCATGAGCTCAGTGGTAACTATATGTACCACCTGCTTCATAGCAGTTCGCTGCGCGTAGTGTAATTCAACAGTAAACCTCCATGACGTACGGATTATGGTAAAGAACCAGCCAGTCTTCGGCGTTTGTCTCTTGTGTCTTGCAGCTGGATGCTGTGAATGCCCCCCCCCTCTTCCATTGCTAGATCTCGTTCGATCGGGATCAATGTCGGCCATTACGTGTTTACTCTTCAGGACGTGGGAAATCCTTGAATATTTATGAATCTTGTTAAACCGAGTCGTGCGTCATTAGTAGACAAGTGACTGGCTTCATGCGATCTGTTTTCAAACCAGACCAACCACGCCGAGGGCGGCGTGCGCGTCGCCCTCTTATTTATTAAAGTTATTTCCCAAATTTAATGAAATTTTGTCACTCTCACAAACATTCCTTCGACTCCACCAACGTGGCAGTGAAGCGACGCTTTCAGGTTCTCACGGTGACGACTATGAAGACATTGACCGATGTTTCAGATGAGCATACTGCCTCCATCATCAGGGCGATTAATGAGTAAGTTCTTCTGGAACGTCAGTCGATGTCTACGAGGCCACAGAA